TTGCAGAAAAGCATCCCCAAAGAATGATGTTTCCACCTCCATGCTTCACGGTTGGGATGGTGTTCTTGGGGTTGTACTCATCCTTCTTCTTCCTCCAAACACGGCGAGTGGCGTTTAGACCAAAAAGCTCTATTTTTGTCTCATCAGACCACATGACCTTCTCCCATTCCTCCTCTGGATCATCCAGATGGTCATTGGCAAACTTCAGATGGGCCTGGACATGCGCTGGCTTGAGCAGGGGGACCTTGCGTGCACTGCAGGATTTTAATCCATGACGGCATAGTGTGTTACTAATGGTTTTCTTTGAGACTGTGGTCCCAGCTCTCTTCAGGTCATTGACCAGGTCCTGCCGTGTAGTTCTGGGCTGATCCCTCACCTTCCTCATGATCATTGATGCCCCACGAGGTGAGATCTTGCATGGAGCCCCAGACCGAGGATGATTGACCGTCATCTTGAACTTCTTCCATTTTCTAATAATTGCGCCAACAGTTGTTGCCTTCTCACCAAGCTGCTTGCCTATTGTCCTGTAGCCCATCCCAGCCTTGTGCAGGTCTACAATTTTATCCCTGATGTCCTTACACAGCTCTGTGGTCTTGGCCATTGTGGAGAGGTTGGAGTCTGTTTGATTGAGTGTGTGGACAGGTGTCTTTTATACAGGTAACGAGTTCAAACAGGTGCAGTTAATACAGGTAATGAGTGGAGAACAGGAGGGCTTCTTAAAGAAAAACTAACAGGTCTGTGAGAGCTGGAATTCTTACTGGTTGGTAGGTGATCAAATACTTATGTCATGCAATAAAATGCAAATTAATTACTTAAAAATCATAAAATGTGATTTTCTGGATTTTGTTTTAGATTCTGTCTCTCACAGTTGAAGTGTACCTATGATAAAAATTACAGACCTCTACGTGCTTTGTAAGTAGGAAAACCTGCAAAACCGGCAGTGTATCAAATACTTGTTCTCCCCACTGTCTGGATTCTGAAATAATATCGGAAATTCATTATTTCACAATTAAGTAAATTGCATTTGTTTGTACAAGGCTAAATGACTAATGGAGTTCCACAGTTAAATGCCCAGCATTTCTATGGTTCGCAAAGCCACTGTAAATTTACCAGACCCAATTGAGATAAAGCACCCCATAAAGCTGTGATCCAGAACTGAATTGGAGAGACAGGCGAGGCATACTCCAATCTCTTTCTGCTGGACCTAGTCTTTGGCCATTGAAGGGTAGATGAATGTCAGAGTATTTAACATTATATGTCCACTTTAAGAAATACATGATGTCTGAATACAGAGGGAAACCAGATAGGCAGATGTGAATGGATGTCTTTCTTTTAAGAAGATGATCTACCCCAGGTGACTTATATGGAGTCTATTGTTTAATCAGGTGTCAGTTTGTAAAGAAAATTGAGATAGATGACTTTGGTGAAATCCATGCTGAAGCCCCACCAATTATCTTCACATCACCACAGTCTTGATTTCGTCAACAAAAATGGTGACTAAAATATTTGTCAATAACCTATTTTTCAGTGGCAATTGATGAGACTATAACTGACTAAATAGGCCCAGAAAAAACTAGAACTAAACTAACATTATTTTTCATTTCAGTTCACTAAAACGAGACGAGACGAAATTATCTCTGTGACTAAAATCGGACTACTAAGTGGACTGGACAATAGTTTTTGGAGAGATTGAGCGCTTTTCAGTGATGAGCACATTTAATATTAGCAGTACAGATGCGTAGCATAGTTCTGTGCAGCAGTGGGAAGGATGCACCACACCCGGCACACACAGCCTAGCCTACATTAGCTGGTGTGCTACGTGGGAGCAAGCGATGAGTGTGGGTAGACAGGCTCCACTCCGGTTCCGCCTCTGATCATACACATCGCGCAGGCGACTCTCTTGCTTCCCCATAGCTAACCAGTCACCACCCTTTGCCTGGTTAAGAAACTGCTTTATGAAATTGAAAACAATAGCAGAATTAAGTTTAATAGTAAAACAACAGTCTAGCTATGTTTTTCGCTCCCTTGAGTATAGATTTTTTTATTTATTTGTAGTCTCGCTCAACCCTCACACTTTCCCTACTGAATTTCTTAGCCAGGTTCTGTAGCCAACATACTAGCCAAGTCTCCCTCTTCTCCTCAGAGAAAACGGCTTGATTCTAGCCATTACCATTCAATGATTTGGCCCATAATACTGGCGCTATGTTTTGTTTCTTTCTATCGTGTATTGGCGGGCCGCATTTTACATTCATAAAGCATATTGCGTGCCATTCTAAAACTAGGCTACTTGCGGACTGAACTGTTAACAATGTCAAACACCTGAAACAGCTTTTTACTGCAATCTAAAGCCATAATCATTATGCTTAATTCTATGTCAAAAATATGTAAATATTTCTACATATCTATCTTGAACTGCCTGTATCCTCCTGACTGGTGGTTATTGTTTTAAAGAAACAAAATATGCATCTCTGCTCAAATCTAGGTCTTATTCAATACATTTAGTAATTGCTTGCTTGTCTAAATTGCTTTATCCTACTCTGTTTATCTTATATCCTGTTGCTTAGTCACCTTATCCCTATACAGACAGTATCTACCTCCATCACTCCAGTATCCCTGCACATTGTAAATATGGTATTGGAACTGACCATGTATATAGTATGCTTACTTACTTATTGTGTTCTTCATATTTCTTCTTATTTCTTGTGTGTTTTTTCTAGTATTACATTGTTATTGATTATTGCATTGTTGGCTTTTGATTTTGCAAGAAAGGCAATTCACTGTACTTGTGCATGTGACATTAAAACTTGAAACTTGAAACTAACAACCTTGCCAGCAGGCATACCAGCTAAGATAGTTAAACAAGCTAGCTACTCTAACTTGATAGCCTGAAATGGCTTCTTGGTAGCTAGTTATGACATTGGGAAATTGGGAACCTATCTGGACTAGCTAAAGCCAACTTCAACTTTATTATTTTTAACAGGACACATCTGATGGGGCACATGCCCCTGTGCCCCCTATGGGCATGACGCCTCTGTCTTTTGGCTACTTCTTGTTCAGTTATGTCACCTCATTAGCTAGCTATAGCTAACAACCTTGGGCACGTTCAGCAGGTCACAACATTTTGGAACATTCAGATAAATGTAGAACAAACATGCCTATCTGACATGTTGAATAGCAGCACCCACCCGTAGTCTGCGCTCCAGCAGGTATATCTCACTGGTCATTCCCAAAGCCAACACCTCCTTTGGCCGCCATTCCTTCCAGTTCTCTGCTGCCAATGACTGGAACGAATTGCAAAAATCTCTGAAGCTGGAGACTCTTATCTCCCTCAATAACTTTAAGCATCAGTTGTCAGAGCACCTTACCGATCACTGCACCTGTACACAGCCCATCTGAAATTAGCCCACCCAACTACCTCATCCCTATATTGTTATTTATTTTGCTCTTTTGCACCCCAGTATCTCTATTTGCACATAATCTCTTGCACATCTAGCATTCCAGTGTTAATACTATTGTAATTATTTTGCACTATAGCCTATTTATTGCCTTACCTCCATAACTTGCTACATTTGCACACACTGTATATATATTTTCTGTTGTATTTTTGACTTTATGTTTTTTACCCCATATGTAACTCTGTGTTGTTTTTATTGCACTGCTTTGCTTTATCTTGGCCAGGTCGCAGTTGTAAATGAGAACCTGTTCTCAACTGGCTTACCTGGTTAAATAAAGGTGAAATAAAAAAAAATAAAAAAAATAAAGAATAACGTTGGTTCTATTCATGGTATTTCTATCTGCAACGTTCAACAACGTTTTGCAACTGAATGTGGCCCTATTAATCTGTCTATTAATAGTAAAATCACAGTTGGCAGAATGTATTATATTGTAAGTGTTGGCTTCTCTGAAGTGATTATATACAATACTTGACAGAAAACACTCTAGTTCCGGTTTTCTTAAGTAGCTCCTGTACTTTTCCAGCCTTATTTTCAGTCTCTCGTGGAGCAGACAGCTTTTATCCCCTCTGTAGGTGTTTTTTTCATGGAATGGTTTAAGAGAGGCTCTGCTGTTAGCACACTTTCCCAGGCATAAGTCCATTTGAAATGCAATGCCCATTCCATGATATTGGCTTTAGGCTGAGTGTTTGCTTTAGTGCCAGAATACTGCCACCAGAGCAAGAATGTGGGCATGTTTTACATGTTTACTCTTATCCAGAGCAATTGAGGTTAAGTGCCTTGCTCAAGAGCACATCAATAGATGTTTAATCTAGTCAGCTTGAGGATTCGAACCAGCGACCTTTCGCTTACTGGCCCAACGCTCTTAACCACTAGGCTACCTGCCGTCAACCTAAAGCTGGGTCACTTTTTGATGGCTCTGTGTTTTAACTTCATTGCGAGTCTCTTATTTGAAGGTTTGTTGTGGATAAAGCCTCCAGACAGTTAATTATGTTTCATAAGCCTGTAGAGAGATTTACAATTATTGCCTGTTCAGTGTCATTTATGAGGGATCATTTGTCAATTGTCAATTTGTATAATAATCATTCTGTTTTCGTACTGCTTCCTTTTACAGAATATCAAAATCACTTTATTTTTATTGATTCTTTTCACAAAGCTTTTCATTGATTCTAAATGTACAGAATGGAGACAAATATGGGATTTCATTTTCTTTCATTTTAGTCGATCTTTCGTGGAATTGGTATGTTTTTGCTCCTTCCATCTGGGATAAACTGTTTATTGATGTAGCTATCAAACATTTATAGCCATCGATGAATGATGCCGCATTTACACCCGAAGTGTACTTTTGAGTGCCCGTACTCAAGGAATGCCAGAGGCTTTTTTACTATTTTAGCTTCAGTGACTGTGAAGATGACTGTTATAAAAATATATATCTTCTAATATTTTTTAGAGTGCCACACTCTTGGAGTACTGTAATGCATTGCTGTCTCCTTTTCAAACGTATCTTCAGCTTTTTTAAGTGTATTTTTATTTTCTCTGTTTTCTTAGATGGAAATGATACCAGAGCCCGATCCAGATGACGAAGGGACTAAAATAAGTGTAAGTTACTGTATGTACAGAGTTTTTACAGTGTCCATATTAGGGCAACATCACATTTCCTAATATGGACACAATAAGTATGGACACATAAAACCATCACCATTTGAATGTTTCTGTTGTGTCATTACATGGTTCTCTGTACAGAACCACCAGTCATGTGGGTGGGATGTAGGTTGCTCCGGCATCGTTAATTGAACATCTATTTAACTCCCTACAGACGGTGAAAGTACAGGGAAACGACATCTCCCACAAACTGCAGATCTCCCGGGTGGGGAAGAGTGACGAGGGCCTGTATGAGTGCAGAGTCACCAACGCCAACTATGGAGAGCTGCTGGAGTACAAGGTCCAGGCCTACCTGAAGGTGAACAGCACCCGGCCCCGCATCAGACCGGTCAAGAAGACGTCCCCCCTGTCCCACCTGACAGCAGATAAGAAGTCCCGCAAGACAGGCTCCACAGCAGCACAAGACGGCATGAGCGCCGACCAGAGGGTCCGCTCTACCTCCAGCTCTCAGACGTCATCAGCCAAGACAGTCAAACACAGTTCAGGTGAGATAACGGCGCCAGAGATTCTGCTGTTAGATTTTTCATATAAATTTTTTTTCTTCAGTAGGGTAAATCATCAGCCAATCCATCTATCTATTCTCATATTTTTTCTGTCTTTATTCTGCCTGTATGTCAGTCTGTCTGTTTGTCTACCTGTCCATCTGCCTGTTTCTTGTCTGTCTGCCTTCAGTCAGCTGTCCACTTGTCAGTTTGTTCAACTTTAAAGCGATTCACCCATGTGCCTAATCAAAAAGACACTGAAGGACACTGTAGAGAGCGAATATTACAATTGAATGTGGAAATACAGCAGAAATAATCCCCCAGACTGCAGTCTGTGATTATGAGGCAGAGGCGCCCCAAATTATGCTGACAACTGTGTGGCGCTGAATGCTCTGTGCAGTGTGTGACACTGATAAATGTTCCTCTATTGCTCCCCCTGTGGTCTTACCTTCACTGAGCACTGCTATGACTGGAGGACAGTTACATTGCTGCAAATGCAGGTTTTTGGGTCGATGAACAACAATTGTCAAACAATTGGATGAAATTAGACCTGTGAGAGAGAACGATTTTCCACATTGCCTTACCTGTAAACGATGGCAACTGTTAGTCGAGTAGGAATTAAGCGCATGGTGGTTTATCTGCATTACGTGCCTGTGCAGAGAAGACCAATGTGTCAGGTCTAGTTACCTCATAGTTTGCTTATATTGGTTTTGGCACTGTTGGTTTTTTAAAGCTCTTGGGTCACTGAATTGAAATACCCAGATGTGATATGTACTGTACCAAAAGGCCTTCAACTTTGTTTAAACTATGTGTCAAGTCACCAACCTGTTCTGGAAAAATAACTACTTTCATACCAACTTCCCAAAGTGCTCATACAACTTCAAACACACAGAAGAACGGATATCCCTGTCCTATCAGGCATGGCTGAGTGGTGAACGACACTGAGAACAGGGAGAATTTGTGAAATACGGGTGTATGACATCGAACCTAGCTACAGTACATTCCGATATCCCTAAATCCCAGCTGGGATTTGCTAGACAAGTCAGACTGTGTTATCACATTTATTTCAGTAGCCCACAGCTAGCTCCATCATGTAGGCAGATAGATGGCGCCAGGCCAGCTCTCTCCCTACGGTAGCGGCATATGCCTGGGTGACGCACCCACCCTCAGCAGGGAGGTCACTCTACCCTATATTCCAAATCTGTATTCCATTAGACAAAATATGGAGTAAACTGGAGACTCAGACTGTAAACTATTAGTGGTGGATCAGGTGACTTTACTCTGTGCAATGTAAAGCGATTTGAGTCAGTACTTGTACAGCAACAGTACTTGGTTTGGTATTTAGTAGTGTAGTACTCATGTTGTAACCTAATGATTTATTCAATCAAGAGTTTGGTTGTGGCAATTGATAGGTTTTTAAAAAAAGCTTTTCCTGTGACATTACTTTTTCAGTATTTATCTAAGAATTGCATTTAGGCTATATTCAGGGGTGGGAGTATGTAAGATGGGGCTCTCATGGATGGTCTGAGAGATTCACTGCAAATCATCAGAGCTGTCTCCATCAGCATGTAAAGCTAGCCCAGCCTCCCAGGCTGCGAGCTGATTCATTATTCTCCATGCAGAGGATGTTTTGGCCTAGTGTGATTGCTGCTCCTCTGTGGTGCTCCTGTTCACTTGATCACCCCGGGCCAAATGAAATCTGGCAGGGAGGAACAGCGGGTTACAGGCATCTATCTTTTTCCTCCTCCAGATAGTGAGCTTGGCCGAACCAAAGTGTCCCCAGACAATTCTTCTCTTAGAACATTGCTGTGCTTGGTTTGACTGAAAAATCCAGTAAATGTCACCATGATTTAGGGAATATTTCATTTTCCATTTCCTGAATGCTGGCTTTGTTTCGGAGGATTACATTCTTTTTTTTGGTGCCTCTTTTTCAGTCCCGGCAGGTACAAGAACAAGTTCATTAGGGAATCTGGTTTCTTTTGATTCTTTTGGATCTTGAATCCTATTTTAGTTTCTGTGTTTCAGGGAGATTAAACAGAAAAAAAGCTTGTGTTAATATACAGTAGAGCATTGCCATTCAGAATATCTCCCTATCTCTCCCTACTGTACTATAAGTTCTGCATCATTATCCTTTGGACAGAAATGCCTCGATGCCTTTTTTCCGTGGTCTTGATCTTATCAATTCAAGGACAATGTCCCTGAGAAACAAATGAACCAAATGTGCTTTTCAGTATCACACAGTTGTCAGACAGTGTGGGTTGCTCAAAAATGCAGCCGTAACTACCTGCAGAACAGACAGCAGCTTGACAAGTTTAGGCATTGGTAGCTGTCCATGTAAATCCTTTTCATGCCAGTTCAACGACAGTTTGTACTTCCTTTACTTAAGGGTAAAGATTATATCCTAATTTTTGTGGGTGTTTGGTGTAGTGAGGGTTTATTTGAATATATTTAAATGGATTTATTCACATTTGGAGGCTAGAGGCTAAACATATATCATGCATTTTCCATATGCCATACAGTGGGGAGAACAAGTATTTGATACACTGACGATTTTGCAGGTTTTCCTACTTACAAAGCATGTAGAGGTCTGTAATTTTTTATCATAGGTACACTTCAACTGTGAGAGACGGAATCTAAAACAAAAATCCAGAAAATCACATTGTATGATTTTTAAGTAATTCATTTGCATTTTATTGCATGACATTATTGCAGAACTTAATATTTGGTACAGAAACCTTTGTTTGCAATTACAGAGATCATATGTTTCCTGTAGGTCTTGACCAGGTTTGCACATTTTGGCCCACTCCTCCATACAGACCTTCTCCAGATCCTTCAGGTTTCGGGGCTGTCGCTGGGCAATACGGACTTTCAGCTCCCTCCAAAGATTTTCTATTGGGTTCAGGTCTGGAGACTGGCTAGGCCACTCCAGGACCTTGAGATGCTTCTTACGGAGCCACTCCTTAGTTGCCCTGACTGTGTGTTTCGGGTTGTTGTCATGCTGGAAGACCCAGCCACGACCCATCTTCAATGCTCTTACTGAGGGAAGGAGGTTGTTGGCCAAGATCTTGCGATACATGGCCCCATCCATCCTCCCCTCAATACGGTGCAGTCGTCCTGTCCCCTTTGCAGAAAAGCATCCCCAAAGAATGATGTTTCCACCTCCATGCTTCACGGTTGGGATGGTGTTCTTGGGGTTGTACTCATCCTTCTTCTTCCTCCAAACACGGCGAGTGGAGTTTAGACCAAAAGGCTACATTTTTGTCTCATCAGACCACATGACCTTCTCCCATTCCTCCTCTGGATCATCCAGATGGTCATTGGCAAACTTCAGACGGGCCTGGACATGCGCTGGCTTGAGCAGGGGGACCTTGCGTGCACTGCAGGATTTTAATCCATGACGGCGTAGTGTGTTACTAATGGTTTTCTTTGAGACTGTGGTCCCAGCTCTCTTCAGGTCATTCACCAGTTCCTGCCGTGTAGTTCTGGGCTGATTCCTCACCTTCCTCATGATCATTGATGCCCCACAAGGTGAGATCTTGCATGGAGCCCCAGACCGAGGATGATTGACCGTCATCTTGAACTTCTTCCATTTTCTAATAATTGCGCCAACAGTTGTTGCCTTCTCACCAAGCTGCTTGCCTATTGTCCTGTAGCCTATCCCAGCCTTGTGCAGGTCTACAATTTTATCCCTGATGTCTTTACACAGCTCTCTGATATTGGCCATTGTGGAGAGGTTGGAGTCTGTTTGATTGAGTGTGTGGACAGGTGTCTTTTATACAGGTAACGAGTTCAAACAGGTGCAGTTAATACAGGTAATGAGTGGAGAACAGGAAGGCTTCTTAAAGAAAAACTAACAGGTCTGTGAGAGCCGGAATTCTTACTGGTTGGTTTGTGATCAAATACTTATGTCATGCAATAAAATGCAAATTAATTACTTAAAAATCATAAAATGTGATTTTCTGGATTTTTGTTTTAGATTCCGTCTCTCACAGTTGAAGTGTACCTATGGTAAAAATTACAGACCTCTACATGCTTTGTAAGTAGGAAAACCTGAAAAATTGGCAGTGTATCAAATTCTTGTTCTCCCCACTGTATATGCATATTTCATTTCAGAATCAGATCATTCCATATGTACACAATGTATACAATGTTTCAGACTAGTGCCATGATAGCTTTTGTGTATATTTCTCTGCAGCAGTACATGTTAAAGATAACAACTGTGCACATATTTTGTGTGAAGATAAGCACTGTATATGTCCTGACTGTATGCCTTCATTCACAGGTACTAGGATAGCTACAAGCTACGGACTTGCCATCCTGATTCTTGGCTGTGGCTTTATGAGGGATACCTTGCTATAGTTTCAAGAACTTACTTTTCCTCCCAGTATCACTATGTATGGCCTGTTATTACCACCAAGCAGACAGCACAGTTGGCCCTTTTTTTCCCACCACTACTCTGCACCTAATGAATTCTTATTACCCATTGTACACAAGAGGCACCTTCTCAAAGGCCAGTGGCGGGATTACCTGTTGTGCCAATGTTTCTTCAGCGTTCCCAACAATTGAAACAAAATGGAAACTGACAGTGTCTACTTGGAATATCTTTCACAAATACTTTTATTTGGGTTTCCTGCAGTACATTTATTGTGTCAAAGTAAAAAAAAAAGATCTATATTTGTGTAATATATGAGTATATAATTGTTTTATTTCAAACTCCTTGAACTGTTTATAGCTTACATTCACTATGTTGATCATGTAACTACATTGTGCAAGGGTATTCATGCCACTCCGAAAACAAAATAACTACTAAAATACAACAAAATGATGTATAGGCCTAGTTGGATTGCTAAATTAGGGCAACTCGACGTTGTATTCTTTTAAAATCTGCATATGTATAACCTGCAACTACAATTCTTGAACTTTGTTATTATTGATCTGTTCTCATTAATTTTCACATTCTTTACTTTTGTACGGTATATAAATATAATCATTTTCCATCTCTTGTAATTTCCTGATGTTCACATGTTATGATGCATAAAAATGTCAATGTTTATACGTGACCGTGCCAGCAGACCATTCGTTGACATTTGGGCTGCACTAATATTGTACAAAGCCATTAAGAAATGGAATGCTTCACTTAGAGTACAGCTCTAATATTCAAATATGCTCCATTACTGAAAATAAGTATCTAGGTACTGCTTTAGCCTAATGCTCAGGGGCATTATCTTTGTGTAAAGAATCTCACATTAGCCAAGAAGAGTTCTTATGCCATTTGATGGTGCAATGATGCCCCAATGGTATCTACAGTACACATTTCTTATCTGTAACACAAAGATAAGGACGAGGAAACAGTTTATAGGTCTTGTGATTAAGAAAATGTTTTTTAATTGTTCTCGCTCTTGTCCCTTCTCAATGTTCATCAACACATTGCTTTGACAATCTGACCTCTTGATTCAGAACCCGTTAGCAGAAGTCATGGATTCTACTGTTATACAAAACTGTTAATAGATATAGAAGCTGTCTAAATGTCTATCTTCATTGTTCCATAGACATTCACCACTTGGAATAATTTCCATTCACTATATGGATGCACCGATTTTATGTAGTGTCATTGTTAAGTGCAGTGACCACTGGACATATTATCCCACCATAGCTATTGTATGAATAGGTGGTATTGGTAATGGATGCAGCAACAGTGCTTCAGATCTGCCATTCAGTTGAGCTGAAGAGTGTATCCATAGACTGAAGAGAGTCTCCATTGTAAAATGTATCATGCAACCAAAGACAGTGGCTATGGCCATACATTATTGACGTTCACCAACATCGATCTCTTTGCACATTGCTTATACTGTAGCCTAGTTTTCTCACATATTGTGCCCATTTATTCCCAATATTTTTACAGTGTCAGAAGGAGGCAGACAATCTGCCCAGATTCACAAAGTACTATCTGTCCATTTCTTCAAATCGTATTTAAAATAACAGCACTTTGGACTTACTGAGATGGAATAATTATAAGTATTGGCAATGGATACAAATTCCAGGGGCCAATAAGAAGCAGGATTTTGCTTAAGGTCTCCATCGTAAACAGTCTCCAGTCTTCTGGACACAGCTCTGCTGAACTCAGTGAGGAACCTAAACCTGTTGATACAGAAGTTGGAGTTAGCTGACAGAGCATATAACACAGAAGAATCCAGCTAGAGACATATTGTAATCAGCAAGTCTTGTCAGGGTACAAAATGTGTGGGCGATATAGAGTATTTAATCTGCTATGTTCCAGTGGTGCTGGGATGAGAACAGTTAATCTAGCAAAGCTACTCAACCTCAAATCAATATTAGGCTAAAGTCCATTGAGTAAAAGTTATTATATGACTATTATGACGAATCCTAACTGTTCAGTTTTGAGGAAGATGATTTTGAGAACTTGACATCTGCTAGTAGAATGTTTATCACATACAAGTTCTCCAATCAGGTAAAATGGAAAGCATATTTGTGTGCACAGTAAAATGAATGCCTTCAGTTTATCAAATCCCTGTATAAAATTTGAAAAATAAAGTAAAACATCTGTAAAACTTGTAAAGTAATCAGCATGTAACCTTTTTTTAAATCCAAATGTCTAAAAGCAGAGACAAGTGATGTTCTGTATTTGTAACAATGTTGTCATTTATTCATTTTCAAGTGCTAATAACAGGAAATGGAATTTAAAAACAACTTTATTGACAGTCTGTTAAGGAGGACCACTTTCCATGGCAGTACTCACCTGTTGCAAGGCCTACAGTACTTCAACTCACTGGATTTTATCAACAGGAAATGGACTCACAACAGAGTACAGGCTCAAGCAAAGTGGATATATCATTTAAAGGATCGACAGAGTCGTTTGTTAAGGGAATTGCGACATCTGACAATTGTCTCAGCCCACCAAACAAGATACTACTGTATACTATGACATTTTAGCAACTCAAATCAATGGATATTGTTTCAGAAACGACAACACAGCAGTTTTCATGTTCTTTTTTTATGATGCCGATATCCATTGTTTCAGCTCCACATAGATGTATTGTTTCCTTATTACGCTTCATCTCGATGCAGTCTTGTCTGTTTGTTGAGCTGTCAAAAATGTTATGACCTGTAATTTTATTTTGATTTGGTACTGTGTGAAGCTTCTGTACTGGAACGTTGCAGCAGTTTGTATTATAATGATGATATCAGAAAAATATTTAAATAAATCATTTTCACAGATGGGATTCAAACACCGCTTCCTCTGCTGGATTCCATCTGTTAAATCGGCAACATATTATGACTTGACTTAGTGAGTACATTGGATGTAGTCCACTGGGCTCAGTGTGGCACATAAAGTGGCATTCAACCATTCTGAGTGGCTATCGGGACAAGGCTTACAGCTGTCTGGTCATAACACCACTGAAGGTTGTAGTGAGGTCCAAATCAAAAAAAGTATATTTACCCTGGTTACAATTATCACAACCAAAATGTTTTATCTAATCAGATCGCAGTGCTGCCAACTGGATATTATTCTGTTCAATTAGTTGCATCTATTGGCTCACAGCACCATCTGTGGCATTGTTATCATTAATGTCTGCTGTAGGAGAAACTGTTTTCTGCAAAGGTTGCGATGTGGTTATAACTATACAGTGTACATATTAGGACACACATGAGTACGGATGTCCTAATATGTACACCGTACAGCTATAAAAACATCATTTTTGATAGAAGATATCTATCTGGAGTTACTGTATGCAAGATTGTGTTCACCCTTGTATCATTGAAAGGTAATTTAGTAAATAGTTATCAGAGATATGAGGGAGTGATCAAACATAGATTCCCGGTTCCTGCTAAAGACATCGCTTGACATTTTGACATGCAGTTATCTGCGTTATAAATAACTAAGCAGGGTTTACATTTTGAAAGCTCATGTCAGGTTGTTATCAAATAGTAATATCCAAGTATATTTCTGATTCAGAAAGTCTAAGAGTGTAGGATCAGGCGTACAATAAAATTGTAATAAAGAAATGTCTGGGAGAGTACAGTATATATTTATACTAAACAAAAATATAAACGCAACCGGCAACAATTTCTAAGATTTTACTGAGTTACAGTTCATATGAGGAAATCAGTCAATTGAAATCAATTCATTAGTCCCTAATCTATGGATTTCACATGACTACAGATATGGATCTGTTGGTCACAGATACCTTAAAAGAAATGGGCCTCACAATGGGCCTCAGGATCTCGTCACTGTATTTCTGTGCATTCAAATTGCCATCGATAAAATGCAGTTGTGTTCATTGTCCGTAGCTTATGTCTGCCCATACCATAACCCACCGCCACCATGGGGCACTTTGTTCACAACGTTGACATCAGCAAATCGATCGCCCACACGACGCCATACACGTGGTCTGCATTTGTGAGACCAGTTGGACGTACTGCCAAATTCTCTAAAACGACGTTGGAGGCGGCTTATGGTAGAGAAATTAACATAAAATGTTCTGGCAACAGCGCTGGTGGACATTCCTGCAGTCAGCATGCCAATTGCACGCTCCCTCAAAACTTGAGACATCTGTGGCATTGTGTTGTGTGACAAAACTGCACATTTTGTGGCAGTTTCTTGTGGCCTTTTAATGTCTCCAGCACCTGTGCAATGATCATGCTGTTTAATCAGCTTCCAGGTGGATGGATTATCTTGGCAAAGGAGAAATGCTCACTAACAAGGATGTAAACAAATTTGTACACAAAAATCTGAGAGAAATAAACTTTTTTGTGCGTATGGAACATTTCTGGGATCTTTCATTTCAGCTCATGAAACGTGGGACCAACACATATAAACATGTTGCGTGTATATTTTTGTTCAGTGGTAGTTTGAAAATGAAGATGATAAATGTACTTTAGTGCTAACGTTTTACTCTAACTTACTGAATTTGACAATGGTGCAGAGAAGACACAGGTATTTGTGTGCATTGTCGTGGATTGCAGAACTGGGCAAGCAGAGATGCAGTGTAACAGCTTGGTATTACTGGAGGCTTGTAATCATGCGTGTTGATTTGAATTCAGTCTCTGTCTAAGTACACTGTGGTCACAGGAAACTGCTCTAATCACAACTTCACTGCCAAGAAAAATGAGCTCTCACATTTCATCCAGTCATCCTTTTGAAGCGTGTGATGAAAAAATAATATCTGAAATTCAAATTTGAAATTTGCTACTGTGGATGTAATCAGGTTTGTTTAATCATTAGATTCGGATTGAGAAAATAACAACATTTAGCAAGGACGGTGCCAGCCATTGGGCCCACGGGTGGAAACGCCTGGCTTGTGTTTGTTAATTTGGTCAGCACCAAGTCCGTTATTTATGTGGAAATGAGTGCAACCCAGCCTCAAGTACTTTAATCGTGGTTCGGGCTCACTATACAGTGGCTTGCGAAAGTAATCATCCCCTTGGCATTTTTCCTATTTTGTTGCCTTACAACCTGGAATTAAAATGGATTTTGGGGGGGTTTGTATCATTTGATTTACACAACATGCCTACCCCTTAAAGATGAAAAAAAGAAAAAATATTGTGAAACAAACAAGAAATAAAACTTGAGTGTGCATAACTATTCACCCCCCCCCAAAATCAATACTCTGTAGAGCCACCTTTTGCAGCAATTACAGCTGCAAGTCTCTTGGGGTATGTCTCTATAAGCTTGGCACATCTAGCAACTGGGATTTTTGCCCATTCTTCAAGGCGAGACTGCTCCAGCTCCTTCAAGTTGGATGGGTTCCACTGTTATTATTATATTTATTATTATATTTATAAATCTGGGGATGGCAGCACATTCACATTCAGCCACGGAATGTGAATATTACAGCAACGTGATCATTCCACATGTAGTCTGAGAGTGTAGGATAAGGCATAGATTAAAATTGTGATAAAGAAAAGTCTGGGAGAGTATAGTATATCATTTATTTAATTTGAAAATAAAGATGATAAATGTACTTTGGCGCTAACGTTTTACTCTAACTTACTGAATTTGACAATGGTGCATGCATGTCACCTACTCAGAGAAAACACAGGTATTTTTGTGCATTGTCGTTGATTGCAGAACTGGGCAAGCAGAGATGCAGTGTAACAGCTTGGTATTACTGGAGGGCTGTAATCGTACGTATTGATTTGAATTCAGTATCTGCCTAAGTACACTGTGGTTACAGGAAACTGCTCTAATCGCAACTTCACTGCCAAGCAAAATTAGCTCTCACATTTCATCCAATCATCCTTTTGAGGGGCGAGATACAAAAAAAACTATTTGAAATTAACATTTCAAATTTGCAACTGTGGATGCAATCAGGTTTGTTTAATCAAAATATTCAGAACGGGAAAAGAAGGACATTTAGCAAGGACGATGCCAGCCATTGGGCCCACGGGTGGAAATGCTAGACGACCAACAATGCAAAATTATGCCTGACTTGTGTTTGTTAATTTGGTCAGCACCAAGTCCGTTATTTATGTGGAAATGAGTGCAACCCAGCCTCCAGCACTTTAATCGTGTTTCGGGCTCGCTATAGCTCCACAGGGAACCATGGCTGGGAAAATTATTATATGAATAAATCTGGGGATGGCAGCACATTCACATTCAGCAACTGGATTCCAAAGTGTATTAATCTGATAACAAATATACCATATTACGGCAACGTGATCCAGTGGCAGTCGGTGACGTTTAAGATGAGGGAGGACAATTTTTTCTATTACAGCATATTGGATGACCGTCATTCATATTCCATTCACCCAGCTCAATGTAACATTGATAGGTTTACGCTACATGATACTCAAATTGTATACCCATCATGAGGTTTCTACAACCTAGCCCAGGACTGCCCTACTCTGTTCCTGGAGAGCTACCATCCTGTAGGTTTTTGCTCCAACCCTAATCTAGCACACCTGATTCTAATAATTAGCAGGTTGATAAGATGAATCAGGTTAGTAACACCTGGGGTTGGAGTGAAAACCTACAGGAGGGTAGCTCTCTAGGAACAGGGTTGGGCAGCCTATTAATTAAGTTTTACAGGTTGAGAGAAATATTGGAGTAATCAAGGTGACAGAAAGTGACACATTCAATGCTGCCTTGCACACTCTTGCCTGCATCTTGCTGATCTAGGGTGTAATCATTAGTCCAACAGTTGCAAATGAGAGTTTGTATTGGACAAATTCAGGTATGTTTATCCCCGTTTCGTTCAGTTTGTTTCCATTTAATAAACTTTTTCAACAGAATCTGCGGAATGAATACACCTCTGATCACACGCAAACACAGTTCACTTTCATAGCAGCTACATGCAAACAGCATGAACATTTTGCTTGTTGTATAATTCCTTCTCGCATCTACATGCTCTATCCTTCTCTCACCTTTTCCCTTCACTTGTGGACTTCAGTGCACAAATCATCAGCTGTCTGTGACCAGGCGAAAAAACATTTCCAAGCCAAACCTTCATAACGCTAACTGCTACATACAGCCTACATCGTTGTCACCATATTAGCTAACGACGTTAGTAACGTCATAGTCAACATAGCTACTAGAACTAACGCATTAGTAAACACGCTACAATCATGCAGTAGAGTGTACAGTCAGCAAGCAGTTTAGCAGTTACACTGACGGGCCCCGGTGGCAATACATTTATTAAACCAAAAGCTTACCTTGACTTGGAAGAGTTCCAGTGTTGGATAGCAATAGCCAGTGAGCTAACATAGCATCCCTCTCTGATTGAACTGGGTGTTTGAGTAGGCTAAACTAGCTAGCTGCATTCACTAGCTAAGTGAAAGTGAAAGTGAAAAAAATACAACCAAATATAGCTCTCTCTCTCTCTCTCTCTCTTGCTTCTACTTTATTTTTAAAGAAATTAATTTGTTCAAAACTGTTCAACTATAGTCTTTCGCTCTCTTTGAGTCAACTACTCACCACATTTTATGCACTGCAGTGCTAGCTAACTGTAGCTTATGCTTTCAGTACTAGATTAATTCTCTGATCCTTTGATTGGGTGGACAACATATCAGTTCATGCTGCAAGAGCTCTGATAGGTTGGAGGACGTCCTCCGGAAGTTGTCATAATTACTGTGTATGTCTATGGAAGGGGGTGAGAACCATGAGTCTCCTAGGTTTTGTATCGAAGTAATTGACCCAGAGGAGTACGGAAACTAGCTGTCCTCCGGCTACACCATGGTGCTATCCTACAAAGTGCTGTTGAGGCTACTGTAGACCTTCATTGCAAAACAGTGTGTTTTAATCAATTATTTGGTGTGAATATATTTAGTATAGTTTTACCTAAAAAGGATAACTTTTTAAATGTTTCACTCATTTTATTTGTATGAAATTCACTGAAATTCCCCTTCCTCCTCTGAGGAGGCTCCACTGACTTGATCATTCCACATGTAGGCCCAATGGGTCTGTCTGTCTATTCCATATTGGGGTGATATGGCAACAGGAATGTAATATCTTCTTACACTAAAAGAAGGCACTTAGGGCCGAAGCCTATTTTGAGATGTGCCGGTAACTCAAACTTTCAATACATTTTCTATTGACAAAAATGCATGGATAGATGTGGAACTTGCATGCTATACTGTATGCAATGATTGGGCTCAATTCAGAATTGAATTGAGAATGCCTCATAAATT